TCCTCTCCTCCTCCTCTCCTCCTCCTCCTCCTCTTCCTCCTCCTCCTCCTCCTCCTCCTCCTCGTCCTCCTCCTCCTCCACCTCCTGTTCCTCCTCCTCCTCTTCCTCCTCCTCCTCCTCCTCCCACTCCTCCTGCTCCTCCACCTGCTCCTCCTCCTCCTCTTCCTCCTCCTCCTCCTCCTCCTCCTCCCACTCCCCCTCCTCCTCAGCAGACAGCCTCTCGTTGCTATCTTTGGGGCTCTGGAGGGACTTCACGAGGAAGAGACTTTTCTGGAGGACGGTTCTGTGAGCCCGAAAGCTGCCCCCTGGGCTCGACAGGTACAAATGGACCTTGAGGCGCTCCACCATCTGGAGGGCGGTACGGCGTTCTTGGGCATGTATCCGGTTCGCGATATCTTCCGCAATGATGCTGCTGCTCGGGTATTCGCGAGGTTCAACCTCGACAAGCTCCGCAAGGTTCATGCCCTCAGAAGTTTCCCACGAGCGCCTCCAGCACAAGTTCCAGAGGATGATCCCCCTGAGGCCTTCATTTGCGAGCTTCCTGGTGCAGGACCCGACGGTTTCTGTGGGCAAGTCTTTTACAACGCGGGGGGCCCTACGGGCTCATCAATGCCACCGTACTTCCCACAAACAACGGGTTCCAGCACATATGTTGGTTGTGGCGAATCAGTGCCTTTTCTGTACGTCGGGTTTCAAAAAGGTGGTGACGGCCAAACAACAGGTGGTGCAGTCATTACGGAGGGGTAGGTGTATTTGTGATTGGAGTCCATATGCGCCCGAGCCGATCACACCACCCGACCTACACTGTTCTTTCTGTGTGGATCCCGAGACAGCGTTCCAGGTTTTCATCACTTGTGTGCCACCTGGCTCGAGGTGCACTGCGCCTTTCGATTCGTTGGCAGAGTTGCAGCGACACCTGCGTGACGTCCACGCTCCCGCTCCACCCGACCTCGTCTACTATGATGTGGACCTGGCTCAGCGCGCCCTCCGCTCTCGGAGCGGCGAGCGCGGCGCCCCGCGCCGAGGCCTTCAGGCGGACCGCCTTTCCCGCGGGCCCGCAGCGGCGGCGGCGGCAGGAGCGGGCGAGGAAGAGCTCATCCCAGCGGCCGCGGCCGCGGCCGCGGCAGCACCAGGCGGCCCCCCAGGACATCAACAGCACCAGCAGCGGCATCAGGGGCCGCAGGGAGTCGTTCACGTTCTGGCTCGGGTCTTCGACACAGCGGGCAACACCTACGGCTTGCAGCGCCGCGACTTCACGCAACTCCAAAATCAACAGATGTCCATCGAGATGGTCCAGGCGCTGATGCCCGTTGTGATGCGGGCGACTCTCTGGAACACGCAGGGCATCGCAGCGCTCGAGAGCACGGTGTACATGATTGCTCACATTCAGGCCGATCACGCGGTCGCCCAGGCGATGCAGTTGACGGGCAAGTACTTCGTGCAGGAGGCGACGCGACTGCGCCGCGACCACAGGGACGATCTTCGCGCTGGCAACCCAGTCGAGACCTTGGAGAAGCTGGGGGTGCCACATCCCCACCTGTGGCTCGCGCTCGTGGGCGCACTCCAGCAGCAAGGGGATCGGGTGGGCGCCCAGAACGCCGCGGCCATCAAGGCCTGTCTCGATCGCGTGCAGGGGGACCCGATGCTCACGAATGCTTCGCTGGCCCAGCAGGTGAAGTACTGTCGCGTGGCCTACACGCACGACAAGAATGCCATGAAGATATTCATTGAAGCCCGAGACACGGGCATCCAGACAGAGGTCCTGGCGGCGTTGGTACAACTGGGGGCGAAGATCATGAGGGGCACTCCGCCGAAGTCGCACCAGGAGAGATTGTTCCAGCTCGCGCTGGACGGTCTGGACAGCTAGACGCCAGCGCTACTACACCGACACCAGCACCGACCGCAGTGTTGACAGCAGTTCCTACCTTGGAGCCTGGACACACAGCCGCGCCGACAACCACCCCGACAGCTGTTCCGACACCGGTTGTGAAGCCTGAGCCTGAGCCCAGAGAGAGCAGCGCTCTCCCAGCGAAGCAGGCCCGCCAGCACAGTGCTGGACAGGCCAGTTCCTCCTTGCCTCCGCCTTCTCCTTCGTCGTCTGAGTCTTCGTCTCGTCGTCCTCGATTACCTCCGTCGTCCGAGTCTTCGTCTCGTCGTCCCCGCTTGACCTCCTCCTCGGCTCTAGATGCAGCGATCTACCGACTGATCAGAGGGACCCCGAGTGCCGACAGTAACTTTTCTGCGGGTCGACGCCCTGGGACCCTGTAATTTTAGTGTTCGCTTTTCAGGTTGAACTCGCTGCCTTTTTAAACTCTTGATTTTGTTGGCTCGCCCGCTGTTCAGATTCGTGGCCGCCGAACTTTGACAGGGATTCGAGGGAGTGGTCCCAGGGATATCTCCGTGCTGGGCTCGCGCGACGCTCCTTGAGACCCCCCACGTGCGAATGCACCGCTACCAGTAGCGCACTCGTGTTCCTTGTGCTGCATTGCTTCTCTCACGGGTTTCATGCGAGCAGACACGTGGATCAGTCGAGCACCGCCGCCGCCGCCCCTCCTCCTCCTCCTCCTCCTCCTCCTCCTCCTCCTCCTCCTCCTCCTCCTCCCTTCTTCTCCTCCTCCTCCTCTTCTCCTCCTCCTCCTCCCCCTCCTCCTCCTCCTCCTCCTCCTCCTCCCCCTCCTCGATCCGCCTCCTCCTCCTCCTCCTCCTCCCCTTCGAGGGGGTCGGCGCTCCCCGATCACCGCGAGCAGCACCGCTCGTCCGAGCACGCATCGGACAAAACTCGGCCCGGCGTCGTTGAGGTGGGCCGAAGACGTCAGAAACCACACGGACACCGATGTCGATTCGGGATCGATCGGATCGGAATGGGCCATGCAGAGAGCCGTCAGGGGCCCCGGGAGCCCCCAGAGGCCGACGAAGGTCCGGTCAGAGACGTGCAATAACTTCGATCCTCGATCTTACTCCTCCTCCTTCTCCTCCTCCTCCTCCTCCTTCTCCTCCTCCTCCTCCTTCTCCTCCTCCTCCTCGTCCTCCTCCTCCTCCTCCTCCTGAAGGGAAACGATCGGGGGGACCGGCTCGAGGGGGGCAACGTCGCCCTGGCATCGGCGATTCCTCGCCGATGGATCGGCGGCAGGCCCCCGGAGGCGAAGGCGTACGCTCCTGGGCGGGGTGGCCCCTCGGGCCGCTCTCGGCGATGAGTGGGCGCTCGAGGGTCAAAGCATCCCACCTCGAGCCGATGCCCCCAATCGTGGCCCCCGAAGAGGTCTGGCCATACACGTCCCGTAAACTCGCTCCTCGATCCTCTTCCACTCTATCCTTCTTCTTCTCTTCCTCCTCCTCCTCCTCCTCCTCCTCCTCCTCCTCCTCCTCCTACTCCTCCTCTTCGAAGAGGTACGGCAAAGGCGTGTTGTGACGACCCCGGCGTTGGTTTTCTGACACCGCGTGGGTCCGCCATCCCTGAACGATCGGCGGCTCATCGATCGCCAGATCGTGCCACATCGGTCGATCCTGGGCCACTGGCGGCGATCACCCTGGAACGCATGCGGCGGACAGCCGCCGCGTCGGCACGATGCGAACGTGCTGTCTGGAGGGACAGAAATCGAGTATCATCACCAACACCGAACGCGAAAACGTCTGTGCTGATCGTGGTCATCGTCCAGTTTGGTCATCCTCGATTCGTTAATCATCCTCGCGAATCGGCGACCAAGATGTCGGCGTCGACGAGATCCCGCGACACCCTGACAATGGTCATCTTGCTGTTTCCATCGATTGACCCCTTCCCCACCTCGGGGCCCGGCGAGGGCCCCTGGAGGCCAAAACTGGCCAAAAATCTCCACGCGAGGAGGTGGGGGTCCTCCTCCTCCTCCGCCTCCTCCACCTCCTCCTCCTCCTCCTCCTCGTCCTCGTCCTCCTCGAGCCTCCTCCTCGATCCGATCCCCCTCCTCCTCCTCTTCTTCCTCCTCCTCCTTCTCCTCCTCCTCCTCCTCCTCGAGGGGGGGGGGGGGCCGCACCGTGGTTTCTGGGTCATACAACTCGGCTCTCCGGCGGCGGTTCGGGACGATCGGGACACCCCCCCGCACGATCTCGGCGAGGCGCAGCTGCGAGAGAGCATCCCGAGACCGGAAAACCGTCGAGGAGCGACGCGTTCGTCAAAGACATGTGACGTTGCCCCTGACCTGCGCCCCCCAGATGGTTGCCCCTGATCCTCGATCCTCGATCCTCGACCCTCAATTCACGACCCTCGATTCTACTCCTCGTTCCTACTCCTCGACCCTCGATCCTCCTTCTCCTCGATCCTCGATCCTCTTCGGACAACGAACCCCGACCCTCGATCCCCCTTTTCCTCCTCCTCCTCCTCCTGCTCCTCCTCCTTCTCCTGCTCCTCGATCCTCGATCCTCCTCGGCCCTCGACCCTCGATCCTCGTCCTCCTTCTTCTCCTCCTCGACCCTCGACCCCCCTCCTCCTCCTCCTCCTACTCCTCCTTCTCCTCCTCCTCCTCCTTCTCCTCCTCTTCCTTCTCCTCCTCCTCCTCCTGCTCCTCCTCCTCGTCCGCGTCCTCCTCCTCCTCCTCCTCCTGCATCTCCTCCTCCTCCTCTTCCTCCTCCTCCTTCTCCTCCTGCTCCTCCTCCTGCTCCTCCTGCTCATCGTCATCATCATCATCACCATCACCATCACCATCACCAGCACCATCACCATCATCATCATCAGCATCAGCATCATCAGCATTATCAGCATCATCATCATCATCAGCAGCAGCAGCATCATCGTCATCATCATCATCATCATCATCCACATAATCATCATTATCACCATCAGCAGCAATAGCATCAGCATCAGCATCACCATCATCTTCATCATCAGCATCATCAGCATTATCAGCATCAGCAGCATCATCATCATGATCATCATCATCATCATCATCATCATCAGCATCAGCACCACCATCATCATCATCAACAACATCATCATCATCACCACCGTCATCATCGCTATCACCATCAGCAACATCATCATTACAATCATCAGCAGCAGCATCAGCATCAGCATCATCATCATCACCATCATCGTCATCATCATCATCATCACCATCACCATCGCCATCATCATCATCATCATCATCATCATCATCATCATCATCAGCAGCAGCAGCAGCATCAGCATCATCAGCATCATCATCGTCATCATCATCATCATCATCATCCTCATCATCCTCAGCATCCTCAGCATCCTCATCATCCTCATCCTCATCCTCATCCTCATCCTCATCCTCCTCCTCCCCATCCCCCTCCCCATTCCCCCACACCCTCCTCCTCCTCCCCCTCCTCGTCCTCCTCCTCCTCCTCCTCCTCCTTCTGCATCTCCTCCTCCTCCTCCTTCTCCTCCTCCTCCTGCATCTCCTCCTCCTCCTCCTCCTCCTCCTCCTCCCCCTCCTCCTCCTCCTCCTCCTCCCCCTCCTTCCCCCGACCACCGCCAGCAGCACCGCCAGGGCCGCCGCCAGGCCGCGGGAGCCCGTCGCCACGGGGGCGCCCAGCGGCCCGCCGGGCGGTCCGCCCCGCGGTCCACCGGCGGCGGCGTTCGGCCGAGGAGGCGGGCCGCGGCCGTCCTCGAGGGTAACGAGCGAGATCTCGTACCTTGGAGGGAGGATCGAGGATCGAGGAAACGGAGGAGGAGGAGGAGGAGGAGGAGGAGGAGGAGGAGGAGGAGGGTAAGGAGAAGGAGGGGGGGGAGGGGCAGGGGAGGAGGATTAAAGATTGAGCATGGAGGAGGAGAATTCAGGATTGAGGATCGAGGAGGACGAGGATGACGAGGAGGAGAAGGAGGAGGAAGAGGAGAGGAAGGAGGGAAGGAGCAGGAGGAGGAGGAGGGAGGAGGAGGAGGAGGAGGAGGAGGAGGATTGAGGATCGAGGAAGAGCGGGATAAAGAGGAATAATAGGAGGAGGAAGAAGATGAGGAGGATGGAGGATCGAGAAGGAGGAGGATGAGGAGGAGGAAGAGGAGGAGGAGGAGGAGGAGGAGAAGGATGAGGAGGAGGATTAAACATCGAGGAGGAGGAGGAGGAGGAAGAGCAGGAGGACGAGTATCGAGGGGGAAGCGGATCGAGGAGAGGGATGATCGATGTCCTCGATCATCCCTGTCGATGCGAGGAGGAGGATGATGATCAATGGCGAGGGGGATAACCGAGGTTCTGGGACGTTTCTGGCCCGAGGAGGAGGCGGAGGAGAAGGAGGAGGAGGAGGAGAAGGAGGAGGAGGAGGAGGAGGAGGAGGAGGAGGGGGATGAGGAGGAGCTCAAGAAAGATCGGCAGGCCAGTGAGGCCTCCATGGAGAAACCGGAATACCGATCGGAAGCAAATGTCGAATCGAATCGGACTCCCAAACCAGCCGACCTCGAATCGGATCGAATCGAATCGGAGTCGGAATGAGCCCAGGCACTCCGCGTCAGACCGCACTCCGCCGGGCCTCCCAGGACCTCTCGAACGTGGCGGCAGCTTCCCACTGGCAGCGCCCAGGGGGAGCGAAGCAGGATAGAGGTGGCGAGGAGGAAGGGCGGGAGAAGAGGACGGGAGGGGAGCAGCTGCTGTTTGGCGGGAAGCCCAGGCGGAAGCGAGAAGGGGGCATGCCTTCTCAGCCGGCGACCGGGCTCCTGAGAAGCCCTCGCGCCGTCTGAGAAGTTCTCTGTGGTCTTCGGGAAAAGCTCAGGAAACTTCTGAGAAGGCCCGAGGCCTTCCGAGCCGTCCCCCCGTGGCTCGCCGCCGAAGTACTCAAAACGACTCAAAACGAGTGCCCAACAGAGGAGGGTTGAGAATTAAACTCGCACCATCATCTGAACACCACTCGGGACACCGTCTGGACATCAATGGAAGGAAAGCTGCACTGCACACCACAAGGAACTGCACAGGCAACAAGCCGAAACTGCCACGCCCAGCTCCAATCTCCGATAGGCGGCATGGTGCCTGTGTGCTGTTCGGCCCAGCAACAGAACGCAGAGCACAGATGTCACGCATAAGAACGCAGGTCAGAGATCAAGCAGCGCTTTGATATGAAAAAAACGCAGGGCACAGATGTCACGCATGAGAATACGGGTCAAGGATCAAGGAGCGTTTTGGTAATATAAGCTCTGTGCAGCTGCAATGGACAGGTTACACGCTGGTCGGAAGAAGTGAGTTGAAACATGAAGTAGGAAGGCGTTGGAATTAGATTGGGCTTAGAAAGAGGAGGAAAGAAAGAAAACCGCTCGACTCTTGAAGTAGGAAGGCGCCTAGAGTAGATTAGGATTCGGGCATCAAAAAATACCTACGTGTAATCACGGCGAGGAGCGCGCACACGCGTAAGGAAGGGGGAGGGTCAAGGAAGAGGGGGTGGGGCAGTGCCGGACACCGAGCGGAGGCTTCCAGCCCTTGGCTTTGACCTCGCCCGGCGGCACCTCAGCGACGTGCCGCGCGGCACGATCGGATTCTTCCCGTCAGGGGCGGGCACCATGCTCCCTGGCTTGTCGAAGGCCAGGACAGGAGGCATGACGACAGACAGCTTCTCGCCTTGGGTGGTCCGCATTCAATCAGACTGTACCGGGCGGCTGACCAACAAACGAACATGTCGCATCAACAACCCAGATGATGTTCGGGGAGGGGTCCACCAACTCGCCCACGTCACCGTAGGGCTCCGACACGGGGTCCGAGGAGATGGGATCGGAGAGTCGCGCCGTTTCCCCACCGCATCGCCGATGCATCGGCGATACATCAACGACGAATCGGAGACGTCGGCATGGAGAAAATCTGGCTCCACGTGGAGTCGCGTCGCCGATGCATCGGCGACGTCGGCGCGATCTTCGGACCCCGTCCGCTCAGACCGCGGCCTGGAGCCACCCACTCGTGCGGCACTCGGGGCCCAAATCTGGGCTTCGGACTGCCCGGCTGTCACCAACGCACATGCCCTCGAGCGCCAGGTCCATGCCGTCGAGGATCTGGCCCGCCCTTCTGGCAACTTCAAAATCCGGTACCCAGGAGGGATCCAGGCCCAGAGGGGGATCCCCCTGTCAACACTTCTGCGAGGCCGGACTTCCTACGACATCCACCGCCGGAACGCCGATGTCTCAGGCCCCCAGGGGGCAGCGGATGCGGATATCGTTGGGCCCACACGGGCCCGAAAACGTTCACACCCACTGCCTCCTGGGACCCTGGGCCGTCTGTTCCCCACGCGTGGCCAATCTCTCTGGGAGAAACAAGCTCGAGACTGCCCCCAACCGTGGCTTCTTCAGGAAACCGCCTGAGGGGGGGGGGGGGGGGGGGCAACTCCGGGGGGGGGAAATCCAAGCGCGGTCGAACCATTGCTTGGGGGACCCTTGTGGGCCCGCACCAAAAGGTCACTCCATCGAAGGATCATTTTCACGCGCAGGCTTCGGTGGTAACTCATGAAAGCCTCCCCATACCATCGCTCGGACGTCCCTTCCCCGTGCATTGCTCGAGTTCGTGCGCGTATTTGATTCGCAGGGTGCTCCAAGACGCTCCTCGATGGCTCTCGCCGAGAGGCGACATGCACACGTCCGAGCGATGCCAAGAACCTGGCCTGGGTCATGGCGGCCTGCCTGCGGGGGAGCTATCCGCGCGGCCCCCGAAGGCCCGTGGTGAACAATTTCCGTCTGGACGGTCCACGGCACACACACACACACACACACACACACCCCGACCGACCCACGACCTCCAGCGGCGAGGATGATGGGCTGATTTTCCACCACCACTACCATATGTAGGAGACGGAGGGGGAGGAGGATGAGGAGGGGGAGGAAGAGGGAGAGGAGGAGAAGGAGGAGGAGGAGGACCTCCGCCGTCCTACCTATGGTAGTGGTGGTGGAGAGTTGGCCCGTCAGCAAGACGAAAGGGAGGGGGCAGGCGCCACGAGCGGCGACCATGTCCGCAGCCGCGCCCTCGCGGTCCAGACTCTGGGGCGCGAGCCCGTGGAGACGCGGCCGCAAGGCTGCGCTCCTCGCGGGGCTTCCGCGAAGAAGGCGCGCCGCATTAACCATGGGGTGGCGGCCCGGTGGCCCGGCCCGCGAGGCGCTGGACACAGATATTCTTCCGCCGAAAGAGGAGGAGGAGGAGTAGGAGTAGCAGGAGGAGGGGGAGGAGTAGGAGTAGGAGTAGGAGTAGGAGTAGGAGTAGGAGTAGGAGTAGGAGTGGGAGTAGGAGTTGGAGTAGGAGTAGGAGTAGGAGTAGGAGTAGGAGTAGGAGTAGGAGTAGGAGTAGGAGTAGGAGTAGGAGTAGGAGTAGGAAAAGGAGTAGGAGTAGGAGTAGGAGTAGGAGTAGGAGTAGGAGTAGGAGTAGGAGTAGGAGTAGGAGTAGGAGTAGGAGTAGTAGTAGTAGTAGTAGTAGTAGCAGTAGCAGTAGTAGTAGTAGTAGTAGTAGTAGTAGTAGTAGTAGTAGTAGTAGTAGTAGTAGTAGTAGTAGTAGTAGTAGTAGTAGTAGTAGTAGTAGTAGTAGTAGTAGTAGTAGTAGTAGTAGTAGTAGTAGTAGTAGTAGTAGTAGTAGTAGTGGTAGTAGCAGTAGCAGTAGCAGTAGCCGTAGCAGTAGCAGTAGCAGTAGCAGTAGCAGTAGCAGTAGTAGTAGTAGTAGTAGTAGTAGTAGTAGTAGTAGTAGTAGTAGTAGTAGTAGTAGTAGTAGTCGTAGTAGTGGTGGTAGTAGTAGTAGTAGTAGTAGTGGTAGTAGTAGTAGTAATAATAATAATAGGAGGAGGAGGAGGAGGAGGGAGAAGATGTGTCCTCGCCCCCAGGCTGCGCCCAGCATTTTAGGCAACCTGGCCTCACTGTAACGTTGAGGAGCTCGCCCATCTTGTTGGCATCGATCTGCCGGCCGTTCTGCGTGGGGTCCTCTGGGTTTGCGTGGACGAAGCCCTTGTGCTCGATCCCAGCGAGGCTCCCGGGCACTGCCCTCTTCGTGCAGCTGGGCTTCTGCGGGGAGGCCGCAAACTGTGAGCTTTCAGACGCTGTGCCAGACACTAAACTCGCCATCAGGAAAGCAAGACTGCGTTCCTTGATACCCACGCGTCGCGAAAAAATGGCTACGGCCAATGATTTGCAGTTTTCGGTTTCCAGGGGCCCTCGCTTGGCGCCAGGACCGCCAAATAACTGCTCAGGATGAAAAGCCTGCCCCGGGGAAGTGGTCGAGATCTCTGGGGTGCGACTTTGAAACGAAACGCTGCCTCGGGAGTCTGGGATGGGCCATTAAAGGAGTATGAGAGGAATACAAGAGGGCCTGAAGAGTCCTCAACAGGAGGAGGAGGAGGAGCAGGGTTCCCGAGCCTGCTGCGCAGGAGGAAGGGATATGACGAGGAGAGGGACAAGCAGGCGGACACGCAGCAGCAGGCGGACACGCAGCAGCAGGGTCGCGCCACATACGTCTACTCGTATAAAAGTCGAAGCTTGAGCTGTGCGCAAACACGCACACGTGTATGATGTGTCGTTGTGCGGAACCGGGCGCCTGTTATAAGCCATTCTAGGAATGGAACGCTTGGCGTGCTCACGCTCGCATTGCGGCGTGTGAGATGAGAAGGAAGAAGAGGATCAGGAGCAGACCCCCCCCGAAGACGATATGACAGAGGTGGACTGGCAAGCAGAAGCAATTGGGGCGAGATCGACGCCACTCCAAACACCAGGCCATCACACACACACACACACACACACACACACGCACACGCACACACACACACAAACACCAGCACCTTAACAAGAGGAGAAGGAATGATATGAGAACGCTCTCTGATAAGACCTCTGTGTGCTGGTTTCCACCTGGGGAGCTCCCCTCGCGCTGGCGGGCAGAGAAACCGTCAGTGCCATGGGAAAGGGGTGGGTGGGAAGGGCTTTACCTCCATGGAGAAACGCAGGAGCAGCTCCTGGCAAGCCGCGTCGGAGCATCGTCTGGGGACTTCCCTGGGGATAGCTTTCCCCCCCGCGACCGCTCCTGACGGTCCCGGGTGCCCGACCACGGGCCCCCAGGAGGCCAAGACCGGCGACACGCCGACGGCGACGAGAAGAAGCACCTCGGCGACTCGAGCTGCGTGGCTCTTCCAGGGGGGCTTGCAAGAAGGATTGCAAAAAAAAAACCCTGGATTGCAAAAAATCCCTTAGTTGTTTTGCAATCCTTCGTTTTTTTTGCAATATTTCGGTTTTTGTTGCAATCCTTCGGTCGGGATTGGCCGCCTTCCTCGGCGGGCTCCGGGCGGCGGCGCCCCCCGCCCCGCCCCGCGGGAGCAGGGCGGCGGTTCTGCCAAGGGGGTCCGGAGCGTCAGGCAGGGAGGGCACCTGGTCCTCGTGCGCTCCGCGCGCTGCGCGCCGAGGAGCGGCGGAGGGAACAAACGTTGGTGGAGCCCCTCCCTGGCCCCCCCCCCCCCCGAAGGCTGAGAGTTCGCGCGCACGCGCGGGGAAGACTGCGGTCAGAGTGCACCTCACGCAGCCCTCTGACAGCATCGATCCTCGGCGGGGAGGCACGGGCAGGTAGGCGTTAGTGTGGCAGGAGTGTTCGATCATGTCTTCCGAGGCCTGGAGGCTTCTTTTGCCACCGCAAAAACTCACATGCAGCTAGCGTCAACGAGTTCCCCCGAAATGCCGTGGCCGATGTCCGCCGCCAAGCCGGGACGCGCCGAGGAAAAGGGGGGTGAGGTCTTTCGTGGAGGAAACGCGTATCCGCATCCACTGCCTCGCGGGCCAAGCCCCCTGGGCCGCGATCCCGTGGATACGGCGATCTTTTTTCGAGGATGCCCCGCGCGGAACGTGTCCGTGCGACCGCCTGTCCGCGGGATCGCGGCCTGGAATCCAGGCCGCGAGGGCGTGGACATGGGTGCGATTGCCGCTCGTGAGATTTGGGCCCTGAGACCCTCCGAGCCTTCTCAATGTAAGTAATCTCCAAATCAGCCTTCGTGCCGTAGACGCCGTAATCGTCCGCGGGAGGCAGCCGTGGGAGACCATCATCGTCCTTCTGGAGCCACTCTGGTGTCACTGGGTCTGCTAGCCGTGGCGCCAGCAAGCACCACAGAGTCAGCAGCAACAGTGGCCTGTGGAATGACACATAATGGGGTCACTAGCCCCCGCCTGCGAACGCCCTTCCCAAAGAAACGTGGGAACCACGGAACAACCACGGACGGTTCGAAGGCCCAGACAGAACTCGCAATCGGGCAGGGCACCTCTCAGAGGCGGGGCCCAATCCGACTCCGGAGGAGAGTCCAACCCCGGATGTCCGATGCCGTGATTGTTTTGATGCACGCCCCCCCCCCCGACCTCTCGACTAAGACGAAGCCAGAACGGGGAGACACTTGGACGAGGATGAGTCGGACATCTCTGAGACCGGGCGGCCCTGGCGGATGCCTCGGGAGCTCCGCGGCCGTCCCAGGGCGTCCGGGAACGCTCTGGAACGGATTTGTCCTCGTCTACCGGGGAGGTGAAGCACTTGGGCCCCAAGGAGCAGGATGAGCAGGAGGAGCAGGAGGAGGAGGAGGAGGAGGAGTAGGAGGAGGAGGGGGAGGAGGAGGAGGAGGAGGAGAAGGAGGAGGAGGAGCAGGAGCAGGAGGAGGAGGAGGAGGAGGAGGAGGAGGAAGAAGAGGAGCAGGAGGATCGAGGAGGAGGAGGAGTATCGAGGAGGATCGAGGAGGATCGAGGAGGAGGAGTATCGAGGAGGATCGAGGAGGAGGAGGAGAAGGAGGAGGACGAGGATGAGGAGGAGGAGGTTTCCAGCCCCGTCCGACGCGGCCCCCCCGACCTCTCGACGCTCTCCCCAGGACTGGCCCTTCGTCCCGGCGAGCTTTAGGGCGGGCGTGTCCCCCTAGAGGGGATTCTGGACAAAATTAAAAATACAAAAATACCCCAAAAATATACTCTTAAAATGCTGGGATATAGTCAACAACATCGTCCCCAGACTATCTTTTTACTGTTTTCGAACATTCCTCCTGTAGAGGAACAGGCCCGACTTGACGGCAAGCTCCTCGACGGGCCCCGGCTCCCGAGAGCGGCACCCAGGACCCGAGCACTGCGAAGAGAGACCTCCGCCTCTCGACTTCTGCCACTGCGTCGAGGGCACGGGGGCACGCAAATTTTTTCAAAGGTATGCCTCCCTCTTCCCTCCTCCCGCCCAACTCCTCCCTCCTTCCTTTTCCCTCCTTCCTCCTCCCTCCTCCCTCCACCGTTCTCCACCTCCTCCCTCCTCCTCCTCCACCTCCTCCCTCCTCCTCCTCCTCCATCTCCTCCTCCTCCTCCTCCTCCTCCTCCTCCTCCACGTCCTCCTCCTCCTCCTCCTCCTCCTCCACCCCCAGATCGGTGGAAAGGACGGGCAGGGCGTTCAGCCCGAGGCTTCCTCACCAGTTGTGATCCTGGAGCTTGATTCATGCAGCAGTTTCACAGATGGAGGGCGGGTGGTTTTGAAAAGCGGCTCTCGCCTGATCGCCACGCAGATTCGTTTTAACCGTTTATAGCAACTTCACGGATGGAGGGCGGATGGTTTTCAAAATGTGACTCTCGATTGAGCGCTGCGCACGTTCGTTTTCAGATATTGCAGCAGCTTCAAGGATGAAGGGCTGGTCGTTTTCAAAATGTGGACCTCGCCTTGACGTAGTGCGCATCCGTCACACAAGTTTAACAGAGCTTCGCGGATGGATGGCGGTTATTTTTCGAAGTGTGGCTCTCGCCTTAGCGCCGCACATACTCGTTTGAAGAGTTTACAGCGGCTTCGGGGATTATCGAGGTGAGCATCCCCCACAGTGCGTTTTTTCCTCGGCGAGAAGCCCTGGATCAGATGGACCGCATACGAGCAGTCAAAATAACGATGCCACGAGACAAGACGAGCGCGCCTGCCGGCAAGCAAGATCATATTGCTGCTGGCCTCCAGATGAGGAGCAAGGATGCTCTGTCGATGTCCCCTGACGACCCCCCCCCCAAATGGGATCCTCCACCACCTCCTCCTCCTCCTTCTCCTCACCATCATTTAAAAAAGAAAACGGGCATTCAAAAAAGGCCTCGGCTGGGCAAGAGCGGCTCCGCTCGAGGGACGCTCGGGCGACAAATGAATTGGACTGGCTTGAATTGGACGATCTGTCTTGCGCACTTCAAAATAATGCGCAGCGGCACTGCCTCACTGCAACACCGCAGTCACGCCCAACAGCAAGGGCACGAGTGTAAGACTGTAAGCCCAAGCAGCTGACCATAAGACGCAACCAAAAAACTGCAAGCTGGGATCGTAGCAGTAATTGCAGCAGTAGTTCCCGTACACAACCTCGTATCCTGATCCGCAAGAAGCAACCTCTACGGATACGTTGAACGCGCAGTCCCCATCAGCGTCGGTACACTGACCGCAGTCGAGTCCTTCAGGGTCGGTCGGCGGCTCTTCGTCGCAGTCGCCTCCGTCATAGTTGCACTCCCAATTGTAGCACGCGCTGTCGCAGGTGCCGTCGCCCGGCCACCCGTCGTAGCAGCCGTCCGCGCAGGTCGTGGCCTCTCCAGAGCACGCTTCGCAACACAAGCCCCCGAAGTAAGGACACCAGCCCCAGAGAGCCACTTCGCTGCAATCGTCCGACCCCACTCCTAGTACCCCGAGTGCGTCGTTATAGTCCTTGCACTCCAGCATGGCGGCAGCACACGTTTGGCAACATACGCCTGGCAACGGTGAGTCGTCGAAGAAGCACATGCCAGCAGCTTCCCCGCAACCAGTGAACAGGGAGAAATTATACTGTTGGAATAAAGACAAGAGGGCGGCATCGTCATCTTCGCACACCTCTGGCTCCTTGTCGGTCGTTGTCCACCACATCTCGGGCTCAGGCTCTGGCTCTGGCTCTGGCGTGGAGTCGCAGTCGCCTCCGTCATAGTTGCACTCCCAATTGTAGCACGCGCTGTCGCAGGTGCCGTCGCCCGGCCACCCGTCGTAGCAGCCGTCCGCGCAGGTCGTGGCCTCTCCAGAGCACGCTTCGCAACACAAGCCCCCGAAGTAAGGACACCAGCCCCAGAGAGCCACTTCGCTGCAATCGTCCGACCCCACTCCTAGTACCCCGAGTGCGTCGTTATAGTCCTTGCACTCCAGCATGGCGGCAGCACACGTTTGGCAACATACGCCTGGCAACGGTGAGTCGTCGAAGAAGCACATGCCAGCAGCTTCCCCGCAACCAGTGAACAGGGAGAAATTATACTGTTGGAATAAAGACAAGAGGGCGGCATCGTCATCTTCGCACACCTCTGGCTCCTTGTCGGTCGTTGTCCACCACATCTCGGGCTCAGGCTCTGGCTCTGGCTCTGGCGTGGAGTCGCAGTCGCCTCCGTCATAGTTGCACTCCCAATTGTAGCACGCGCTGTCGCAGGTGCCGTCGCCCGGCCACCCGTCGTAGCAGCCGTCCGCGCAGGTCGTGGCCTCTCCAGAGCACGCTTCGCAACACAAGCCCCCGAAGTAAGGACACCAGCCCCAGAGAGCCACTTCGCTGCAATCGTCCGACCCCACTCCTAGTACCCCGAGTGCGTCGTTATAGTCCTTGCACTCCAGCATGGCGGCAGCACACGTTTGGCAACATACGCCTGGCAACGGTGAGTCGTCGAAGAAGCACATGCCAGCAGCTTCCCCGCAACCAGTGAACAGGGAGAAATTATACTGTTGGAATAAAGACAAGAGGGCGGCATCGTCATCTTCGCACACCTCTGGCTCCTTGTCGGTCGTTGTCCACCACATCTCGGGCTCAGGCTCTGGCTCTGGCTCTGGCGTGGAGTCGCAGTCGCCTCCGTCATAGTTGCACTCCCAATTGTAGCACGCGCTGTCGCAGGTGCCGTCGCCCGGCCACCCGTCGTAGCAGCCGTCCGCGCAGAGCCCCGAACTGAGGGCTCGCCCATCACGAACTACCTGGTAGTCACACTTGCCCAAGTAAGCTGTATCAACATTGGCACAGCTGGCTTGACAGGTGCTGTCATATGTCTGGCCGTCTTCACCACATACGGGGTCTGAGTAGGGACAGTTACAGCCTTCGGCTCCAGACATCAGAGCCCGTCCTGCATGTGCCATCGGCAGCGCTTGGACCCTGCGGAACAGCTCGCCACCCTTGCCTCGGGGGACATCCACATGCAACCGCAAGCACGTCATGGCCTTGCCCGCGGAATCGATGACCTTGATTTTCAGCTTGTAGCCGCCAGCAATCACCATCGGTGGCAACGTGTCGAGGGCGAAGCGAAGCTCAGTGTTCCCAGGTGGAAGGGGGCATCCGCGTCTGCTGTGGCTTTTGCCAAAGTGTTTGCACAAGTCCTCCTCGTATGTGTGAGGGACGCTGTGCCATGCGAGCTCACGCTTCACCCAGTCTCCTGTAGACGAACCCTCAGCAGCCGAGCCCTTGTACATCTTGACGTTGAGAGTCCCCCCCGACACGTTGTTCGAGAGATCCCCGTAAGCGCGCACCTGTAGGTAGGCCCGGTCGAATTCCGCGCGAGTAATAGACATCACGTCACTCTTACCACCGCAGTCCTCAATCTGCACACCAGCGCCACGATCGAGTATCTCTGCAACGGTGGTCACATCGCTTCGTTCCTTCCCCTCACCTGCCATCTCGTCGAGATATCCCCAAAACTTGTCCTTGACTTTGGCATCGGCTATTGTGAAGATGCATAGGACGGCGACGACTGAGCGAGCAGTCGCCGACGCAATCGTAGTCATGACACCGTATTGGAAGTGAAAGCGGTCAAATTTTGACCGCCTGCGTGTTGAAGAAGAAACACCTCGACACACAAACTCTTGAGCCACAATCACCACGGAATCCCCCAAAGTGCGTTTTAGCATGATGTCTGAATGCCAGGGCGCAACAATTACGCTGATTCAAGGTATTGAACTCCTAGGAATGGCTTCCTGGCACGATTCAGGATCTTCCAGACGCGACAGTACTAGGATTCGCGGCGCTGACCTCCCCGATGTTAATGTTCTGGCACGCTTCCGGATTTTCAAGCGGTTGTCTTCCAATGTGGCATTTCCTTCAGCTCCATGTGAAGAGGGAGCCTGGCGGGAGGGTTGATTGCAATATCGTTAGCGTGTCGTGGGATTACAATT